TATGTTCTAGCTCAGACAATTTTCTACAAATGTAGTATTCACAATTTTTATTTTTGACAAAAGTATCATGATGTATTTTTTGCGATTAAAGGAGGCATGTCAATTTTTCGCATTTAGCGTGTATTCTCTATGGGACATGACTTGTTCTCAAAACTGGATTCTACACTCCTGTCTTTCGCGAGCAAAATCTCCGTTGTTTTAGCTTTGTTTTCGCTGAGCTTTGGATATGTTGTAGCTGAGACAATGAGCTATCAAAAGTGTGCCTTTTATTTTTCTATTAGATGCCGGGATCATGCTCATATTTCACTTGCAAAGTAGGATTTCTGAATTCCATTTCCCGTTTACGTGTAATCGCTATAGGAGATGTTTTGGTATATCGGTAACGCACTTGACTTCCAACCTCGAGATCCCTGGTTCGAGTCCGGGTGTCTCCAACAGTTTTTTTTTTCACTTTTTTTTTCCCTTTGACCTTCACTGTACCATCTCCTTTGATTATTTAAACACGTAGATTCGCAAATAATGTCATAAATAACCCTTTTTACTTTATTATTACCCTATTTTCACTTAATCCATTACTTTTTGCGTGTAATCCCTATGGGAGATGACTTTTTCTAAAATCTGGAGTCTACATTCCTGTCTTTTGCGAGCAATATCGCCGTTATTTCGGCTTGGATTTTGTTGATTTTTGTGTATGTTGTTGCTGAGACTATATGCTATCTAAATCAACCCTCATTTTTTCAATAAGATGTTATGATCGCGCTCATAATCATGAACATGATCATCATGATCATCATTATCATAATGATGATAATCATTTATCAATTACATTTTCATTTCTTTGAATAAGATAAAAATCGTCAAAAGGTGTTCTTCATGATGTAAATTAGAGTCAAATGTGTAACTGGTTACTGCACAGGGTCAAAGGTCATATATTGTTTCAATCTATCTTCCCTAGATCCATGATGATCAAGGAGACATAATTTTATCTTGACATATGAATAGATCATAATGGGAGAAGCATATGAATGGGAGAAGCATTTTATAAAATAATATATCGTGTAATGCATTATTCGTTATGTAAACCATTATCATACGTATCACCTAATTCGTCTAAGTGACGAATTAAAGTCTAGTTAATATTATAATTGTTATCATTATTATTATTACTATTATTATCATCATTATGACTTATTAAGTAAGCAAATATCATTCCCCAAAACCTGGGGGGGGATGATTGTACATGCCATCCCCCCCACCTTGTGAGGTGGGGGGGATGCATCCCCCTCATCCCCCCCGTTGTCTACGCCCCTGGTACTTATCATCTATACTGATAAGTGTTAGGCAACGCCACACTTGTACAAACTGCGCAGCTCAACTAGCATGAACTAGTTTACATGTGTACAACCTGCAGAATCGATGAAAACGAGAGCAAAAATATTATCTGGGAACTCTACCGGTCTTCATTTTCGTAAAAACAACCCATCGAAGTACGTGAAGAATGAAGTGAAGATTAGAGTTTCATCGTTATACAGCATTATTGAACAGGAACCAAGAGGCAATAAACAAATTCGGAAGTTTGCTACGAATTTTTTGGAAAACAAGGTCGCCTTTCGTACTCCGAGAAGAGGAGGAGTATATAGGAGGAACTTCCATACTGGGAAGTATAACATCTTTTTTTTTGGTTGTTGAGGCTTTTGAAAGGATGCCATCGGCTACCATGGTCGTAACAATGCATCGGATATTCTGCATATCAATTCTGGTGTGTGGACTTTTTGGAGGAAGCTTTCACGTCACAGCTCAAGGTAAGATATTGTAGAATGATTTTTATATAGTTGCAGAATATGATTTCGAAAATATATCTTTACATAATTTGTAATGTTTCTTCCATTGAATGATTGTATTCATTGCAGTTATGGCCGAGTCAAAAGTATGTCTCTTACTTTAAAAGGTGTTGTTGAATTCTCTCATGGAATTGTGAAAATAATTTGACATAAAAATATCGTTTTATTTGATGCTTTGTATGATTCAAGTTCTAGTAGAGCTATCAGCTTGATATTGTCATCAGTTCTACTGAAATATAAGATGTAGTCGGTAACGTACGATACAAAAAAGGAGCTTGAACTTGCCTATATAATTGTGTAGTTAAATATTATACTAAAAACTTAAAATGAGAGAACTGTAAAGCATGATTTTGTTCAATTCGTTATAAACACATTACAGTGCGTTGCAGTTGAGTATTTCTAATACAGAAGCTACGAGGACAGATGATGCCTCATCTAACTTTTAACATCTAGCATATTAATTAATCACATCTTCCATAAGATTTTAGACATAATGATTTACTTATAATTTCGTAAAGTACAATACTGAGTCCATCTAAGATGAATAAATCAACATCACGATATTGTTAAATTATTTAAGTATTCTTGCGTCGAGTAGTTACTTGTTGATTTGTAGGTTGTCGAGAAACTATATGCATAATCAAAATACTTATAGAAAAGATTAAAAGGATACCTTAACATGTTTTGAATTAATGAAAGATGATTAAACTGGAATTAAGTATGATAACCGAACAACTTAATTTTTGTAACTCTATTGCATTACGATTCTATTGATATAGAAACTAGAAGTTTATGAACTTTAGAAAGACCGATGAATATTTTTTTAATAATCAGGAAATTTCTTTCATTTCAATGATGACTCAGTCCTCTTTCAAAAACCATTGCGATTAGGTTTCTTTATTGGATTACAAAAAATAAGTGTCTTTAAAAAAAATAGATGGTTGGTAATGGTCAAGATTGATCCTTTGTTGTTTCCGATGGTTGTGAATTTCCATCAAATCCAAGTTTTATTGACTGCGGCTCAATTCTTCGAGATTTATGGCGCCTAATAAATCAGGAATCACAAACCGAAGTGGTTAAGGTATATCACCGCATCCACTTCCAAGTTTAACACTACAAAAATAAGCTATGCTTTCCAGTTCTTTAGGTTCCTGTGTCATTTCATAATTTTGAACTTACTTTGCCGCGTCATACCAAAGGACGTTAAAAGATGGGAGTTGTTGCTACCTTGTTTGGCGTTCAACAATAAGGGATAGAGCAACGTCGATCTGGCGCTGCTCAGTGGCTGCCGGGCTCACGATCAATTGGGCAAAAAGAATTTCCGTTTCGGTTTAATAAAATTTGGAGTGGACTATTAGGCTATTATTATTATTATTATTATTATTTAACTATGTTCTTTATTGTTCAAACAATTGATATGAAATGAAATAAATTCGAATCAATCAATCAATCAATCATAACCACGTATCCTTTACACAGCGTCGTTCATATGACACATTATAATTGAAGATCATTTCCAACGTATGAGTAATTTCGATAACATTATTACAGTTGTGGTGTAAAACGGCAAGATTTAGCTGGTCAACGTGATGAACTAAAAGGTGGTGACTCCCAAGCAAGTTATGCGATCTTGTTTGAACTGCTTATCAAATCGACTTTTTCAGGTGGTAGTTCGGTTTGATCACATGTAGACAATAAAACGGGTGCAAATAATCTCACATGCCACTGTGAGGCATATGGAATTTTAAGTAGTGAAGAATGAAAATGAAATTAGTGTGTATTGTCATTAATCAAAGTTTTTCATTGATCGTAAATTTCAGGGTTTATTTAAACTTTTCACAAACTGAGGCTTTTGGTAACACTATGTGGCATACGCACCCATCATAGAAGAGAATATTTATCTAAAATGCTTAAAACAACATTTTGTCAGCCAAGTTTACAGCAATGTTCATACCATTATCCTTAATGTTGCCTTATACGGAAATATCAAGCGTATCTTAAACATCTTCCGACTTCCTTAAAACAAAACTTTCTAATTTTCCATATGAATAGTTACCAGAAAAACGATAACAAAACCTAATATAATATTAAACGCAAGAAGGATGGCTTAAATCTTTCCGATTTAGATTTCTCCATAACATAACTAAACGTTAAACGCAAGGCATCTGTTCATAATCGCTATCCTGTCAATTATTTAAGTTTATACAAAGAATTTGATTGGTTACCCTTTTAAAAAAAATGGTGGGATTTTCCAAGTTTCTTTTTCAGGTATCATATTCCTTGCAATAATTGACTCTAAATCTCAAGATTATGGAATCGAAACAAACCAATTTGTATCGTCCTGCCAAAGAGTTAGGATTTTCTCATTGGTCATGCCGAGAAGTTTAAGTTTATACAAAGACATTTATAGGTTACTATTGTACAAAATGGTGGAATTTTCCAAGTTTCTTTTTCAGTTATCACATTCCTGGCATTCATTGACTCTAAATCTCGAGAGTATAGAATCGAAACACATACTTATTTTGTATCGCCCTGCGTAGATCGTCATCCCACATCGTACAAATCTATTTCCCTTATCTTCTTCAAACATTGTTTAAGATAAACCTCTTGCTTTTTTCCTCCTCGGTTTTTATTTGCGTAACTTGCTGGACACGTAATATTACAGGGTGCGACCTGCTGTCTTAAATAAACATTAACAGATTTTTAATGATTAGTCAAAGTTAACCGTATGTCATTGCATTTTGAAGCTCCGGACATTGCGAGTTGTAAAGCATTGCAATGCACATTGTGCCTAGTTATTTATGAAGTTCTTATAGTTTCATTTATTTCGTGCTTTTATAAAGAATCGCTGGTCATACCTAAGTCAACTCCAACAATTAAACGCATTAAAATATTCAGATAATGTGATGTACAATATATATATATACATAAAGTATTGTTATTATTGTTACTACTATTAATATTATCGTTATCACTCTAAGTGTTATTATTATTAACATCATCAAGACTTACCCAGTATATATAGCTTCCTGAATGAGCTGCTAATTATTCCATTGATCATTATTATTATTATTATTATTCAGTTCAGGAATTTGTTTATATAAAATGATATTTTTCTGTATTTTTGATCTGCATACATTTTAGACGCAGATTCATATTATGAAACAAATTCAGTTTAGCGGAACCACGAGTGATTTAATATCAAGTAGTGGTCACAACGATGTAATTGTATAGCCTAATAATCAAAAGATAATATGTGTCTTTTGTATTGTATTTCCTTTTTTTTCCTCCACGAATATCAGAAATACATCATTGAAAAATAGTTTCCTGTTAACTCAACAATACCTGAATCTTGAGTAGTCAATTTTATTTATGTTATAAATGTAAATTATCTTGAATATATATTTGTTAATCTGTTGCAACTGAAAATGAATAAAATCCCTATGGAGGGAAAAATATGAAAGAAAAAAAATTATTATTATTAACATATCGAAAGTTTCACCCCGTGAGAAAAAATAAATAAAATTGAATCCCATATTAAGAGGTGGGGGGGGGGGGGGTCTACCTCCTGCCCCGAAATTACCTCTGCCACAGGCTCCTCAACAAATAAGTATCAAATAATAATGAGAAAAAGCTGAATGTAAAGAAAAACTCATGAAAACACTTTCGAAGTCAAACTTTAGTAGGCTAGATCTACATAAAGCTGATTGCTTTATAAGGTAATTAATATTTAGCAAATAACTTTTGAATAAATCACTAATTGTTGCCAATTTGGTCCTCGCAGAATGCTCGTCGATCCCTCTGAGTGACCCCACGCGAGTGGTGGCCACGCCCCCTCAGTCCGGTTCCAACTACACTTTCTACGAACGGGTCTCTCTATCGTGCAACGCCACGGGAGAATACACTTTCACTGGAAACGACTACAGCTACTGTGAGGGCAATAACCAGTGGAATCCCGACCCAGCCACAGTCATATGCTATGGTGAGTATTACAATCTTAGGATCAAGTATTTCTAAAATGATTTATGCATGAAATACCTGGGGATGTTTCACCAAGATCCTAAGTTGACCTTATCTCTAAGTTGGACTTAACAATTATGGAAAGCCGTTTGCAAAATAGCATTAATTTTATGAACAATATTTTGTATAAGTTATTTTAAAAGGCATACAATGTTGACTCAAATCAATCATATTTTCTATCATCAAGGAGATTTCATGCTCCTGATGTGGAATTTATAAGAAGTCTAAAATACTTGATTTTTCGCTTTTGAATATATTTTATTTCAAGGCTACAAATGGCTATCCATAATTTTAAATTCCAACTCATATAAATACCGCAGTGATCATAAGCAATTACACACCTAATATGTGCACCATCTTCCCACTCTATTAGGAGTATAACATCACACAGTCACCGCGAGGACATTATGATGATTATAACCAAAATGGTTTTCGTCATCCCAATCCCTTTCCTGCATATTTATCAAATAAGAGGTGATACGAATTTTGCAAGCCTTCTTAACAATCTTCATTATCAGAATTCATTTCATGGACTGTAATAGTTTAAAGGTATAGACCAGTTTTGGAAACGCCCCCCTTTAAAAAAATGAAATGGAAGCTCAAATTACAAATCATGTGAAAGAATATGTTTTGACTAATACGTGACGATACAAATTTTTGCCGCGAAACCGCCTACCAATTGATATATTTGGTAAATAATCATATCGATTAGCTCTGAAAAGATATCGTGAATGCACTTCAACATTGAACATTTGGGCATATATTTCTGCTTTTTGCGAATTTAGGTTGAAGTATTGCCATCTAAACCTCTGAATGCAATATTTAAACTATATTGAATGGATATTTCGCACCCAAAACCCTTGAACCGCAATGTTACCACTAACGATCTTTACCTTTAATACTATAACGGCACATTTTTGTTACATTCAATGCCCAAGGAAGACTTTATTTTTGGAGTTCTTGATATTGAGTGGAGATAAAATCTTAAAAGATACTGCCCTCCTTGTTTTTATACGTAAGTCTTTTATTTCAAAGCAAACATGCCCAGTGTTTGTCTTGGTCCCCGAACCTTTGTTTGATGTCAAGTTAATGAGGAGATTATTTGTGTAACGGGTTAAAGAAATAAACAACGAGAGGGGAGGTGTATAGATATATAAAGATAGAGGTAGAACGAGAGAGAGATAAACTATATGCATCTTTTATTATGTTGGACGATCTCGCATTCAAAATATTTGAATGAATTTCCTGAAAAAATGAAGAAGAAAAAAATAGAATTCAAGGGAAATGATGAAGACATGTGTAGTTACACTTTTTCACGCAAAATTTGTCCCTTAGCAAAAGCTATCTCACAGGTTGTTATACCTTTGTCTGAGAATAGTCTTTCCTTTTTTTTTTTACCTCTCTTAATTAGGTTCATAATTTTTATTATATTTGTTTATTTCTACATGGTTCATCACATTGAATAGAATGACCAAGATAAGACATTTCGTCGCCTTTAAGAGGGAGGAAGGAGGGGGGAGGGGGTGGTGTTTGTTACTATGCAACTATATTTCCTATATCGACACCTTGAAAATATATGATGAAATGTTTGTCATCAAATATGTTAATTAGTTAAATACGTTTTTACTTCAAATTAATTATGTTTATTTTCACATGAGTTCATTACGATACCGTAAACCTTTTACCAACATAATATCATGTTTTAACTTACACGATACATTTTTATTAAGCCCAAAAAGAAAAACGGTAAAATAATATGTCTCTAGTTTCAAATCGTGCACTCTAAAAAAAAAAGATTCCCAATATTGGGTAAAATTTTACACTTTACGACGGTAAAAAGGGAACATGCATGTTTGTTGGGTAAAATTTGACACAGGGGTGGTTGGGTAAAAATTTACCCAGCAAATGTTTAATGTTTTACCCAACTGATGTGCAATATATTTGACCCAATGTAAAAGGTAAAATGTTACCCAACGACAACCATATTCCCTTTTTGACACAACATTGGGTAATTTTTACCCAACTCATCCTGGGTACTCGTTTACTCTGTTCTTGTGTAATTTTAACCCAACCTTATTGTATGATTTTTTTTTTATTTTTACACAGATTTGGGTAAAAAAGAAAATTTGTCCGAGGAGTTAGCTGGAAAAGTACATGCTATATGTAGTGTAGTGTATAAGTAGCAGACCTCTCTCTCTCTCTCTCTTGGCTAGACAGTCTTTCGCTTGGCGTGCTCGCAGTAGGTGACTGCATCGCGGATGACATTCTCCATACGAATAATGTGTTGTCCAGAATTATAAGGAATTTCATGTCCATATTGAGAAGATTTACAAGCATTCATGCAAAATAAATGCTGCGGAAAGACACAAGTGCATGATCGTAGTTTATTTCGAACAAAGTCGTCCATCCTCTGTCGATCTTGAACACGATTAATTTGATGAACAGCTAATTCGGAACGACCGACCACGCTAGCGCTTCAATCATAGTTTTAACATCAGCTGTGTCATAATACCAACGTTTAGATTTTAAAACTTGTGTTTACTCAAATATTAATCTGCATCGTTACTTTCTTACCCCGGAAATGCGAAAAAGTCGAACTTTGATATGACACTATGGCAAGTGTAATGAAATTTCGAGGGGACTTGGTGTTTGGCACAAGGTTGGGTAATACTTTACCCAACTTTTTTAAACAGCGATTTTGCACAGCAAAATTTTGCACTCTATTTTTAGATGCATGATGTCGGTAAGATCAAGTAGCACCGTAAATGTTGAAATACGAGATGACAAAACAAACCAAAAAAGAAGTACATACATTATTTCCTCACATTTAACTTTTGTTACAATATCAACATTCAACAAACACCAATGTAAACACTAAGCTGCACCAAATAGTTCAAAAGAGTTCTCCCCCATTCTGAGATAAATGCAATATTAAAACAGAAAAATAATTGATTCCAGTTCTTGAAATATTTACATATAAGCTTAAAATCAACCGGAATATTGTCACTTTCTGTGTATGTGAATCACTTTTACATGCTTTTAGTTATACCGGTAACAGCGACATAAGACCGGAAAATGATCGAACAAAAAATATACATTACCCGGAAGGGCAAAGATTCTGTCGAATATCGGTTGGTTTGGCGCTGGTGCAGTGTTGTGACTGGTTATTTCATGGTATCATAAGACATAATACGATATAAAACTACCAGGTAGTTTTTACTTGGTAGGGCATCGTAAATATGAAGTAAACAGCGATATATGAACATTAAAAAGAATATATCGTTTAAAATCATTGGGAGAATATTTACTGTGGTTTGAATCAGTTCAAATCGTACAGCTGTCTTCTCGACTGAAAAGCTATTTTTGTATTCATGCACTCCATAATACTATTTCAAAATTTCTTACACATTTCTCTAATTTAATAGCTAATTTTTTTGATACATTGTGTTTTTAATTAGCCTTAAAATATAATATTGAACTTCATGGCTTGTTATCTAATATACTATAGTTGTGATAAGTTCATTTAGAAGGAAAAAAAATAAGGATAAATTTGTTCAATCGTTGAGATTTCCAAGGTTATTAGGCTATCTAATGTTTATTTATGTTCCTTGTAATCATGGTTATGTTGTAGACTGTGGATAGAGGATGTCATAGAGTGATAATGTTATCTGTATTTAAAGGTAGTTTCGGTAATTCTGATGTGAAGCATGGTCATCTCCTGTTACCACAAGAACATAGCTAACAACAAAATCAGCAGCGAGCGAATGAGTAAAAAGTCCTCTTCCGACAAGGAAGATGTGAGCTGGGATGGTGGAGTTGGACTGCTGTTTTTTTCTTCACAAAGACTAAGATCGACTTTAAAGGGATCCGGTAACTTTGTCTTAGATCCCTTAGAAATAATCCTTGATTTAGCTCATGCTGCAATAATAATTATAAACCTTTAGGTCAGTCAGGAACTCCATGACTTTTACAAGCCGATCGCCTGTCTGATTATCAAGATATTAATGATTGAAATTACAAATTTTGAAAACCGTTCGCTGAACGGTTTTCATAACACTACAGTCTATTGGGGAAAACGAGTATGGTAAAACCGGTCATTCAAAGATTTTTTACTTTTTTGAGGCACTTCTTGATTATTTTGAAGCGCGATTTTTTTTAGGGCTTCAATATTACACCATATCACAGACACTGGTGACATGTAGGACCGTGTATCTCAGATTTAACATTGTTAAACGATCCCTTTAAGATGGACTTAACTATGACAGGCCATTCGTGCCACTGGTTGCTCTCACCATTGGTCTCTCAATTATGATCTTTAGATAATGTTTTTTCCTTCAATAATGAACTATCTAAAAAGGTAAATTCTGTAGATTTGTGACCACGATTTGCACGTCCCTTGAGAAACCAATGCCAGGAATGGATAGAGGAACAAGTGGCATGAACGGCCTGTCATAGTTAAGTCCAACTTAAAGTCAATCTTAGTCTTTGCGAAACACTCCCCTGGCCAATCAACTGACCCCGGTTCATTACCGAGTCGAAGTTTGATAGAAAGTAGATGTTTAAGTGTGTTCCAAGATGCAATATTCAGATTTTGGAGACTCATGTTAGTGAAAATTTCAAAAAATGAAACAAACATCACACACATTGGACATAATTACGATATCTATCATCTATCATATCCCATTATTGTATTAAGTACATGTATGTGAAGATAGCATTGTCATTGTAATTATTTAATAAAAAATAAAAGATTAAAAAAAAAAATCACCCCCATGGCTGACCTAAGAAAGGTGACCTTACCCCCCCCCCCCCCAACGGAGCAAAATGTCAATTTTTCAAATTTTGAGACCAAAAAAAAAAAGTGTCCTCTTCCCCCCCCCCCCCCCCCCCCCGCTTATTCAGCGGTCGGTTGAGTCGTTGCGATTTTTTTGAGACCCAAAAAAAAAAAAAGTGTCCGCTTACCCCGGATTACAAGCCACTGCTCTACCAACTGAGCTATCGCGCCTCCTCATGAATAATCTTCTTCAAATCCAAACCAAAATGTTTTTTTCTTCTTCAGAAAGATGTGCGGGTAGTCTCATCCCAGACGATGTGACCCAGGAAGACTTGGAAGGCAACGCAAAGACTTACTACGAGCACGGAGAATACATCTATCTATCTTGCTCTGCTAGTCAGACGCTGATTGGCCCAAGTAGGATCACGTGTCTAGATGGCTCCATCGGCGATGATGCAGTTTCGTGCGCAGGTAAGAAGACGAAAATAAAATATGTAACAAATATATTCTTCTTTTTGAGATTTTGAGATTTAAGATTTTAGATTTTAGATTTTAGATTTTTTAGATTTTAAAAATTATTATTATGATTATTATTATTGTTATTTTTTAATTTATTTTTTTTAATTTATTTTTGTTGGGGGGGGGGGTTGTTATTCTGAATGAAATGTTGACTGTTTGAAGTAAAGGTAATGCAGAGTTTTGGAAAATTTTGGAAATTGGATAGATATTGATTCTTTAAGATTTTAATATATTTGGATGCCCCTATCGATGTATTATAAGCACTAGACAATTTAGCCCCTAAAACACTTCTGCTGTCGAGAAATTGAATAATCAAAATTTACCGTTGCTCCCGGTGAATTTCAAATATTTCAAATAGCACCTAAGGCCATTTCATGGTAGCTGCGACCCTGGCAATTTCAGAATGTGCAATTCTGATATATAATTTCCAAACGAGAATAGCAAATCGGTCGATTGTAGTCAAGAAACATGGTTTTAAAGCTAAAGTAATACCAGTCTCGAGAGGGAGCTATACAACGCAAAAAGTTTATTATTTACAATTTCATCACTTTAATCTCGATTTCAACCGCGACAACGATTAATGAATATTGTAAAAACGCATATGCTTCCGATATGTTCATTTGAACCAAATTCGTGACCCCATACCGAAACTTTGTATAACCTTTAACGCCTTTGTTGAATACTTTTAGATGTTAACTTTAGTATGTCACAATCTCAAGAAACATAAATCTTGCACAAATCAACTTTTTCACTTACTCACAAATTACAAATCTTGGTAAGGGAGTGAATAATTTAGTTGTTTACAGTATGGCATTTTGCTGAAACAATTTCAAGGAGAGTATCCTGACATATCCCACGGGCAAAACAAATTACAGGAAAAAGCTAAATGTTCATAACGGCTGCTATCGACTCAAGCATTCTTGCTTATGATAGTTGGCCTCTGCATTTATCTTGATTAGTTTTACTTACCTTCATACTTTCAAGCTTTCAACTATGCATTTTTATGTGTGCGTATTTTAGTTGTCACTCTTTATGTAAATCAATTATATTATATACTATTATTGTTATTTGAATGTTTTATATTTGATTTATCAATAAATGCAGAAACATCTGCTAAAAAAAATAAATAAATAACCTTCTACTTAGCAATCTGGAAAATTAACGTATACAAATATATGTAAGTCTTGCGAAGAAAATAAAATACATGTATTTCTCTTCACATCTCGCATTCTTCTCCTACCTCTCCTACAAATATTTGCTCAATTAATCTTACGTTGGGTTGTGTAATTTGGCAGCAAGTTAACAAATTCAGCCTGATATATAGCCACAGAAGTAATCTTGTTATTTGGGGTTTGTTATTTTGCCTAGATAACGGGCATAAAAGCCACAATCTTTGCTTTGGAATTTATTGAGCAGTAAAGTCGATTCTTTAAATAAGTTGAGATCCCTGATTCACTGGATTTATGTAACGTAAAGTAGAAGAGCGTTCAACTTCATAGATGACTGAACATTTATTTGGTCCAACCTTGCTAACCTATATTTAATTCCTAGTGTAAGGAATGTCCACTTTGAATGAACATTTATTACAAAATGTTTAGCAGAAGCAGTAGCCTATGAGGCATTTCAATTAAGTAGTAACATATTAAAGTAGTAGCAGCAGCAGTAGTAGTAGTAGTAGTAGTAGTAGTAGTAGCAGCAGCAGTAGCAGCAGTATAATAGTAGCAGCAAAAGCAGCAGTTGTAGTTCCAGTAATAGTAGTTATAGTAATAACAGTACTACTACTAGAAGTGGTAGTAGTAGTAGTAGTAGTAGTAGTAGTAGTAGTAGTAGTAGTCTAGTATTAGTAGTAGTAGTAGTAGTAGTAGTCAGCAGCAGTAGTAGTGGTAGTGACAGTGGAAGTAGTATTGGTAGAAGCAGTAGTAGTATAGTAGTAGTATAGTAGTAGTAATCGAAGTGGTGGCAGTAGTAGTAATAAAAGAAGAAGAAGTAGTAGTAGTAGTAGTAGTAGTAGTCGTCATCTTCGTCGCAGTAGTAATGGGAGTGATAGTAAGCAAAAGAAGTGGGGGAGGGGATGAAAAAAAGGAGACATGATAAAGACAAAACAGTACAAAATATAGTCAAAGAAGGATGTATTTTTGAAGCAATTGCTATTATCCACACACCACCGGTGGTATTGGTTGACATAAAAATGGCATCGGTATGCAATCCATATAACTTTAACCCATTGGCTGTAGAAAATATAGAATCCATTGGAAAATGGATTAAAAGGTAAGATGATTTTATGTGAGCATGTCTACTTCTGATCCTGTTATTTTTGTAATCTTTAACTATTGAAAGAACGTTGAAATCTCTAAACTACAGATGTTGTAGAATAATGTTGGTGAATTAATCAAGTTACAATCTTGAATGGTTTTTCTTTTGTGTCTGTGTACAAATTTAGGAGGAACGACTACGGCTGTGTACACCACAGCACAGGCTACTACGAGTAGTGCGCCCTCAACAACTGCCCAACAGGACGAAACAACATTGGCTTTTCAGACGATCATCAATACCGTAATGGGTTCCACTACATCTCCTGACGACAGCCTCACGACCAGACAGCCTGATGTATCGACACAGGCACAAACCAAGCCAATGACATCCACGGTTTACATCACAACAACCCCAGTCGTCACTGTGGAGATTTCCACAGTGGTTCCAACCGATGTCTCTGCAACCTCTGTTCAGGAAACCACAACAGGAGCCCCTCCCTTTACGGAACTAAGTAACACGAATACGGCAGAAGCGACTACGATGTCCACAGGCATACATTCAACAATGTCGACGCGTTTCATGAGTACTGATGTGTACGAAGCAACGACGTTTCAGACATTATTTTCAACAAACACTCCAGGACGCACGCAAAGCACGGATCATGCCGTGACCGTCACTACAAGTGGATCTACGGACGAAGCGACTTTGGCAATCACAGACGTATCTGTAACATTCTCAACGCCTGTACTGGCTACTGATGCGGACAGCGCAACGACGTTTCAGACAGCAATCAAAACGGATACTCCAGAAAGTACCTCGGGCACTGAGTCTTCCGTAGCAGTTTCCACAGACGTCGCAACAGCCAGCGACGTAACAGCCATCAACCCAGCCACCACGATGCCGACAACTGAGCCCATAACAACAGGATTTACAGATTTACCTCGGACGGATGGCAACCTCGTAACCACATCGGCCACTGATGTTTCTGCAACTGATGATGATGTGACGACATCCCCCGTGGAAGGCACTGAAGTGGTGACAGCGATAGTGACAGTCACAGAAGGGATCACTGAAATCGATGGTTTTACTACTTCCCCCGTGGAAGCCACTGAAGAGGTGACAGCGGAGGTGACAGTCACAGAAGTGATCACTGAAATCGATGGATCTACTACTCCCCCCGTGGAAGCCACTGAAGAGGTGACAGCGGTAGTGACAGTCACAGAAGGGATCACTGAAATCGATGGTTTTACTACTTCCCCCATGGAAGCCACTGAAGCGGTGACAGCGGTAGTGACAGTCACAGAAGGGATCACTGAAATCGATGGTTTTACTACTTCCCCCGTGGAAGCCACTGAAGAGGTGACAGCGGTAGTGACAGTCACAGAAGGGATCACTGAAATCGATGGTTTTACTACCTCACCCGTGGAAGCCACTGAAGAGGTGACAGCGGTAGTGACAGTCACAGAAGGGATCACTGAAATCGATGGTTTTACTACTTCCCCCGTGGAAGCCACTGAAGAGGTGACAGCGGTAGTGACAGGCACAGAAGTGATCACCGAAGTCGATGGCAATACTACCTCCCCCGTGGAAGCCACTGAAATCGATGGCCTTACTACCTCCCCCGTGGAAGCCACTGAAGTGGTGACAGCGGTAGTGACAGGCACAGAAGTGATCACTGATGTCGATGGCGTTACTACTTCCCCCGTGGAAGCCACTGAAGTGGTGACAGCGGAAGTGACAGGCACAGAAGTGATCACTGAAAGCGATGGCGTTACTACTTCCCCCGTGGAAGCCACCGAAGTAGTGACAGCGGAAGTGACAGTCACAGAAGTGATCACTGATGTCGATGGCGTTACTACTTCCCCCGTTGAAGGCACTGAAGAGGTGACAGCGGTAGTGACAGGCACAGAAGTGGTCACTGAAATCGATGGCTTTACTACTCCCCCCGTGGAAGCCACTGAAGTGGTGACAGCGGAAGTGACAGTCACAGAAGTGATCACTGTAATCGATGACCTTACTACTTCCCCCGTGGAAGCCACTGAAGTGGTGACAGCGGAAGTTACAGTCACAGAAGTGGTCACTGAAACTGATGGCTTTACTACTAATACTACTACACCAGGCGGCAGTGACATGACAACAACCATGGGTGAGTAAATTGGAATTCTATTTATCTCAGAAACTATGCTTGATGATGAATGTGGGTGTCATTCATACACAATACAAAGATTGACGGTTCAGCCCTTTAGTTTTCTTCTTTTCTTCTATCTATTTTTATCAACATTTTAAATGCTACTTAGAGGTAAAATAGATAATTTTGCATCTAGATAACCGAGTGGCAATGTGCCAGACATGAGCGCTATACAAGACTCCACTGTCCTCATCATCATTATCATCTCTGACTCTATTTTGACATTTATCTCATCCTTGCATCATCCCCCTCTATCTCTCTCATTTTTTTCTCCCCCTCTCTCACTCTCTCTCTCTCTCTCTCACTCTCTATTTCTTTAAATATTCATTTTACAGTTCTTTCTCTCACTTTTTCACGTTTTTTATTCTCCTATCAGTGCCTCAAACTTGTGAGGGGTTCTGCGACCCGGACCGGGAGCGGTGTGTGACGGGATCGGAAGGGCCAGAGTGCGAGTGCCTGCCAGGATTCTATAGAATCACCGAGGACAAGACAAAGACGAATGTCCAGTGTACAGGTATGTGTAAGGCTGGGTTGAGCAAGGGCGTCGCAAGGCCAGGGTTTAAAAAGAGGAGAGGGGAGGGAGGGGGGAGGGGGTGGGGGGTTCAGGACTAAATCTACAAACAAGTCAACCGAAAATCGATATGCAGAAATGTCATAAATTGTGGCAATTAGCCGACAAGCTCAAGATTGATACAAATTTGCATTCAATCTTTTAATGGGGTGGGCGTGGGGGGGGGGGGGGGGGGTCACATCCCGCACCCACCCTAGCAAAAACTGAAGAAAACAAATCATTACCCACTGGATATGATGGGGAAGTCGATGAATCCAAAACAAGACCAATAACCTTATCTGCCATAATATACTGTTTGGTGTGCTGCCATCTTCGGCGAGTTGCTTGATTTTTCTTTCATTATAAGTAATTGTTCATGTTTATTGTATGCATGTAATTCTATTCTGGAAATCTACGTAGTTATTCAATGAAATCATTCATCTTTTGATTTCTTCTTTTTCTCTGAATAACGCAGAGGCGATACTATTCGAGGTCGACGCACGGATCACGGAAATTGATTGGCAAACTGTCGAGTTCAGCGAAGATTTGAGAAATAGTTCCAGTGCAAGATTCATCCATTTGGACGATCTCATATGCAATGCGGTGAGTGTGAAAATAAAAATCCCTGTGGAAAGTTCCGAATTCATGAATTTCGTCATTATCATTTGATATTAAAACAATGACAGGAAAAGATCCAACTACTTGTATTAGATATTAAGCCCGCTTCCTATTGAAGAAGGAGTAGGGGCCCATGCATTTGTGATTTATTTTGATCATAATAATTATAATAATATTCAGTTCTTGTATAGCGCATTATCACATTATATAACGTCCCTATATGCGCTTCCAAAGAGCCTTGGAAATTATTACTCTAGTTTTAGCTCGTAAATATTCGTAGCAGGTGGATGAAATGTTTTGTAACGAGGGATTTTGTACATTAAAGTTGATTACATTACGAAAATGGCCTGTAGCATTGTGCGCCACCTATCGAAATGTGCGAACATTGAGTTGATTTTTCGAAAGGCTTTGCGACCGTTGTATAGAAACAAAACACTAACATCAACAACGATATAAAAACTACAACCACCCCTACAATCATCACCACCACCACTACCACCACCACAACAACATCAAGATAAACGCAATAGGCCGTTTTCGTAATGTATTCAAATGTATACAAGTTTAATTAGCAACGAGCTATTACATTCACCTGTTGCATAATTATATCAATATTCGGAATGCGAATTGCATACATGAATTGTTGCTAGGTAGGGCAAAGATTATGCACTGCTTTACCTAACACGCAAAGTTTGCTATTTGCATTCTGACTATTGAAATACAAATCTTCATAACAGGTGTACGAAGCATTCCGTAACGAGCCCCTTCACAAAGACGTACGCATTAAATTTGATTACATATCGAAAATGACTTATTTGAATATCATGTGGTTTCCTGTTCTTACCTCGTCTGTAGGTGGCGTCTGTCCAGGATTCTACCTCGGACTTTCTCGTCTGTCAGGTGACGTCATTCTCCGATGGCAGCATCATCGCCGCGATCGAACTGTACTTCGACGAGCTAAGCAACGCCACGGAGATCGAGGTCTACAATGAGACGATAGCGGCGTTTATAGAGAACAACATCACGGCTGAAGTCACCCGAGTTGAATGTAAATTCACAAATATTAATGAAATTGAAATAATTATATTATATAGGTTTATAACATACTCTCAGGGGTTGTTCTGTCCAATGCGTCAAAGTTTGTTGTAAAGTGGACATGGTGGAATTACCCATTAATGTGCGTACAAATTTCGCACGCAGCGAAACTTTTGGCGCGTTTGTAATTTACATCAAACATGTTGCAAGAGATCGTGAAGCTGTCAGTCATGCAGAATGCAGTGTATGATGACTTTAATTTCCTTTCGAGGTGGTTTTTCTGAAGGTGATGGAAGTTATAGGAATGATCAAAATATGCAGCCTGTATTCCGACTTCTGGCCAAGTTGTCAAGGTTGCTGGTTCCAAACAATTTTGTGTTAAAGATTGTTTTGGTGATCACACCAGCCCCCAAACATCGAATTTGCCCTGCTCCAGCCTGTTGCTTGAATGATATCGCTGTGAACCTCATGAGCAGTCGCTGTTGTTTAGAACCAATACGCAACCCGGATGACGAGCGATTATGACGTTAGCACGTCGGTACTCTATACATTCAATTGTATACCCTTTGTCCAGTGACGAACTATCATATTCACCTGGCCTAGTAGGGATAAATAGAGCATGTCATTAGCGTTGCTAGGTCGGTCAAACACTTAGGTTTGCCCAGCCTAACTCCGGAACCTGCACATACTATTTTCAAAATGTATTGAAAATGTAGACACGTTTACCAAGCGTCGAGCTATCATATTCACCTGCTAAATAGTAGTTTATATCAGTAATTAAATGTAAATTGCATACAGTAGTTGTTGCTATGTCAAACCTACGTAACTAAGTGTAAATATATGCAAATTGCATTCTGACAATTGAAATACAATCATTGTTCGCATCAGATGAATAAACTCTTCCATAACGAGGCTCCTAACACCGACGTTTGCATTTAATTTGAATAAATTTACTCTGACCGATGCAATATATTTAATTGGAAAAGTGATTATAATGTTTCGTTACTAGGAACTTGGCTTATAGAAGTATGAATATTGAGAAAATGGCCTATCGAGCGACTACATTTGAATAGTTCTTGCAATGTCGGACCATTATGCTCAACATTTTAACAGGCATTGTTTTACAGGAACCCGTTTCACAAAGCCTTTTTTTTTTTAAATGAAAACGACAAAAAAATAAGTGACAAATCTGCTGATAACCAATCAGAAGCAAGGATTTCACTAGCTTATAACAAAAACTGTAAGTTGTCACTGATGACAATTTTTGTGAAATTGGGCCCCAGGTATGTAAATATGACATTTGTAACCACACCTAGATATATCTCAAATTTCATATCTTCATATCATTTGTTTATTGTTTGCTAATCAAGCTGTCACAAATTACTGATTCTTTCCAACTTCTATTCTTTTTTTTTATAGTGGTGGTACCATCGATTCCCACAACTGTGCCTGCAACTACCACAACTCAAACAGCAACAACTGCAACAACAGGTAATTGATCATTGGAAGAAGCTTTTCAAGTCGCAAAGAATTTGTTTGAGCCATATACCATTTGTTTCGGTTAGCTAAAGTCGTGGCCTTTTGTGTAATACAGGCACTAAGATGAAAAATGGAGATTTTGATTATTCAATGTTTCCTTAACTCTTTATTTCGAACCCGAATCCTCTCCTTTTTATCGTATATACCAAAGGGTTCAAGATTATTAATTGTTTTGAACGCAAGCTTAATCTTTACCGGTGTCGTCATGGAGCTGCTCGTGACCGGATATCAGAATTTATCCGGAAGTCATTAATTGTGTTGCATAAAGCAACCCTTCATTCGATTGGTGCCTATTATTTTGTGCGTAAACGTACGTGCGTCAAACGAGCGACAGGGCAGAGAGGCAAAGAGGGAAAACGAAGTGTTATTGTGTTACACCTATAGTTAACCAATGAAAAGTTTTACACATGAATGGGCAATCTGCATTTTTTCCTTCAAAAGGACGTACGCTGCAAAATGTGACGAATCCTTGCAGAATATGAACACAATTTATTTTTCTTCTCTCTTTTTATTCCAGAACATCGAACATCTGGCAGGACTACTCACACGTCAAGTGGTACGTAAACATAATTATATAGACAAATATATACCAGATGATATTTAAGAATAAATAAATAGATATCTTTGTCAGATCCATTGTCTTTCATTTGCTCCTTGCCACTCTTCTGTTGCATTTTTTTTCCAGCAGATGTTTCTGCATTTATTGAAAAATTGAAAAATCAAATACAATATATTCAATTAACAATAATAGTATATAATAAAATTGATTTACATAAAACGTGACAACTGAAAAAAAAAAAAAAAATATGATTGAAAACTTGTAAGTATGGAGGTAAATCAAAGAATTAAGATAAATGCGGGGGCCAATTATCATAAGCATGAATGATTGAGTCGATATCAGCCGGAAAGGGGGGAGGGGCACACTTGTATGTACCCATATGAATGACATATATTTTCAAGTAAGCTTTGAAATGATGGAAAAATGATGGAAATGATGACAAAAATAATGGAAAATGTTTATTCAATGCAAGCGAGCAAACAAACAAACAAACAAACAAACAAACATATAGAAGAACGAATCGTTTGTATCACGTTACGGATCGCTATACAATTATGGTGGAATAACTATCATGACTTGTAATAGCAGATAAGTCATCGCAGATTTATATTCATTCGGATTTGTCTTCTGTAATTAGGAACAGCAGGGTCAACAAGCGAGACCGAGTCTTCAACCACGCAGTTTGCTACGACGGCTAAACCAGCTAACAGTAAGTCATGCAAAATTGTGCTTTGCCATTGAATTTTGATGTGAATGTGGACAAAAAAAAGTATTATTAGGAGAGAGATTCGATGAGGGGGTGGGGGTGGAGGAAAGACATTTGAAAGGGTGTTGTAAGCAAAGAATGCAGTACAAAGAAGAAAGTGGTAAATGAAATTTATATAGACAGAGAGAGGGGAACCAGAAAAAGAGAGGTATAGAGTAAACCAGAATAAGAGAGAGAGAGAGAGAGCGAGAGAGAGAGAGACAGACAGAGACAGAGAGATATGGGGAGAAAAATGACAGAGATACAGATTAAAAAGAGCGAAAAGGAGATAGATAGAGGGGGAAGTAGGAAGATAAAATAGACGTGTGAAAAACAAAATTATGAGGCAAGCGATGGTAGTAATTTTAAGCTGTTCAGTTGGCATTCCTAATGCCTCTCCATCGACAGATATCATGACAAATTTATCAACACTTTTGTTTATCAATATCACGTCTCATTGCTTAAAGGGTAATACAAAGTTTTGGTATGGGTCATGAATTTGGTTCGAATGAACGTTATTGGAACAATATTCAATGATCGTTGTCGCTGTTGAAATCGAGTCTAAAGTGATGAAATTGTAAATAATAAACTCTTTATGTTGTATAGCGCCCTCTTAAAACTGATGTTACTTAAGCTTTAAAACAATGTTTCTTGACTACAATCGACCGATTTGCTATTCCCGTTTGAAAATCATGTATCAGAATTGCATATTCTGAGATTTTCATGGTCGCAGCCACCATGGAATGGCGCTATTTGAAATATTTGAAATTTACCGGGAGCACCGGTAATTTAAAAAATATTCAATTTCTCGAAAGCAGAAGTGTTTTAGGGGCTAAATTTTGTAGTGCTTATTATACATCCACAGGGGCATCCAAATATATCACAATATTAAGAATTACTACCCATCCAATTTTCAAAATTTCCCAAAACTTTGCATTACCACAGATACAGCCGATACGACTCTCCTGGTGCTGTACATCTTAATTCCCGTCGTCGCTCTCCTCCTCCTCATCGCGATCGGCTTCATCCTCTACCAGAACAAGAAAGTCTCGGCCCAATACGGTGCCTACAACCCCGGAGGCAAGAAATCAAAGCACTCGAAGACATCCAAGAAGGCCAATGCTTCAAACAAGGTAAAACTTCTAAACCTAACTTATTCAATTTGAAGAAATAAATTATCTTATTTTCGAATTCCATATAGAGGTGTCGTGGTATAGTGAATACGTCACCGGACTGTGGATTTCATGGTTCGCGGTTCGAGTCCTGGCGCGTCACTCATGTCCTTTGGCAAGAAATTAACCTGAAAGAACCTGGAAGAAATTCCTTGAATGTCTAAACAAATTATCAGGGTAGCTCGGCTAATGCCCGGGTAATAATATCACAGCGAACATTGCGTTATAAAAATGTTACTATGATTATTTTTTAATTCTGTGTTGATGTTTTGTATTCATCTGACCGCTAAGACAGCATACGTATGCGTGTAAGTAAACAGCCAAGGGGAACGGCAGCTTTAAAAATCCTCCGAGGGAATTGGAAATGAGGAATAATGCCTTATTAAACAAAGGGCACATCCGCATCCACTTGGTTTCGAACCCAAGAACCTTCCGCTTTAATATCATACTACTGCTCCACCACTGAGCCATCGCGCCCGTACCGATAAGAGTGCTTAATGTGCAAAATATAAAAAGTATTAGAAGAAAGACAAGAGACGAGTTGGAATTCATAAAGTAGAGAACACAAAGAAAAGAACATGCTAATTGGAGTAAAAGTTGAATTCCAAGGGGATTAAGCTTTATGTGAGGAAAAAAGATAAGCTGCTTGTAAATTTGATTTTGTTTTCCCCTCCAAGATGTGTAATATACATATGAATATATAAATATATATGTATGAATAAAATATCGTTATATTCTGAAATGAAAATATGCGAAACGAAGAATTGTCATATACTCGTATACCATGATTATAATTCTTTCCAATTGAACCAAATTAGGACACAAACGGCCATGTGAATACTGCCTTCTACGATGGAATAGTGACCAGTGTAGACGAGTGCACCCAAACCTCGGGACCTCAGTCATCGGGAGACGATCGTCCCGACAACGGCGTGGTCGTCACGGAGGACATCGACCACATGGTGTATCCTTACCCCTGGAACGAGCCCGGACGACTCGAGGGCGATGATGACGTCAATGCGATCTACGCGAAGGTCGATCGAAAGTCCGCCAAAGAAGTGACGCATAAAAACCCACCGGTTATTGTCGAGATCGAACTGAAACCGGTTGTGGTCGAGGAACCGCAAAGCCCGCCGGTTGACTGGGCCGCGGTAGATCCTGAACTAGGCGCGGTTGAGAAAGAAACGTCAGTCACCGAAGCGGTTGAAATTGATTCAGACCATAATTCGGACGATCAGGTTGCGGTAGACGGACAGGTGGGCGATAACGAAAACGGGGAACACGAAGTGAATAACACGGGCTCGCAAACCGAGGTCGACGAGGAACCCGACTACATAGTCATAGAAGGTTTTGAGCTCAACGCATCTTCTTCCAACGACGGGTCGACGTCGAAAGACGATGGATCACTCAACCTCGACGCCATTAGTTTAGAGTTGATGTCAACGATGGAAAACGAAATGGACAAAAGACTTAATAACAGGAGCACACCTTGTTGACCTTTGAACTGTGATTCCCGGCAGGTCTTTCTGTTTCTTAGTCCTTAAAAACATTATTCGGATCTATAAATAATACATATTAAAAACTTTTCATATAAAAGAATGTCAACGTGAAGGTCATTATCATTGAATGATCTAATTCGTTATTATTATTTCTTGATATCATTTTTCATTTATTCCTATGAATTAAACGTATCAAATGCATTTGTATCTGTTGTATGTTTTTGAGATGTTGGGACCCTATGGAAATCAGCTTTTGTTATTAAAGGTTTTTCATCCCATGAGAGCAAATGATGAATGATTCAATAAATTATGTCCATTTGTAAGTTTTGTACATATATTTTATATTTTAAACAACTTATTGATGTCAACTTAGAATGATGATGCAAAATAAGCAAAATGATGGATCTACGAAACTGCTCGTAAATGTATTAAAAAATAAAAACAATATTCCTTAATGTTAAAATATTTTGCAAGCTACGTCACCAAAATCGTTTATTTCTACGTTTTATTTTCATACTTTCTGTTGATAAAATGTTTATTTTAAAGATATATTTCAAGTTTTACGATTAAACTATATACGTTATTTATCATTAAATTATAAATGCTAATACCGTTGTCACAGGTTTAAGAGATATTTAGAATTTTAGACTAATCATATTTGTGTTCATTTTTATGTAAGTGTAAAGACCGTTTTTGTATGTAGGAATATTCTGTTTTTCTTCTGTAGGCGTACATGTGGTTGCATATCAAACCAATGTGTATTACGATAAAAATGGAGGCAAATACCCGAAAATCACCAGTAAGAATATGAATATTTATGTATACGTTTCTTTTAACCGATCATTCCATTTTAACATTTAACATTATTTGAGTAAATCATATTCAACAGTGTTTTGACCTTTGCGTTACGAATAAATTTATTATGTCACGTTAGTTTTCCAAGTTTCTTACGAATGTGCTATTAAAAAAAATGTGGATATTACTGATGGCATTCTGATCATGCTTCCTGTCTAGGAAATGAAAATAAAAGTTTGACCGACTATTGGATCATATTTAAAATACGCCTTTTATTTAAAAATATATATATTTATGAGCCTTGTACGAACCTTATAGATACATTTCAAATTTCTCCGTATTCATTTTATTTTTTGATGTGTATTTCAAAAGCAACGCATGTTCAGATTTTGGGAATGTGTAACAAGCATTCGTATAAAATTGTAAGTGGCTAAAGTGAATTTGAAACAAAATAGTTATGTTTTACAGTTCGAGATGTCGAAATTGCCCCTATAGTAGGGGGGGGGGGGTTGCATCCAATTAAATAAATAATGTCGGCAAATCTTATAAAATTGATGACCTATTTTTCTTTTCTGTTCCATCTTTCCTTTCTTTTTTGATTGGTGGAAAATCTGATTTAGCTTGTCGGCAAATATGGTTCGCCTGCACCTCTCATTCAAATGCTAGGTTCACCTTTCACAAAGCATTTTCCAGGGATTCACAGCAATAGTAAAGCGATTAAGCCATTCTCTCATAGTATGAAGTTACTTCGTTTAATATAGTTTTTTTGTACAATGGAAAGATCAAATTATTGTCTATAAACAAGGCATGATTTATAAGTTAATCTTAACGAGTTCTCAATACACTATTAATTGCCCATAAAGTTGGAATATTTTTAAAATGTATTGTCATGAAGGGATCGTGAAAATATGGTTTATTCTAGATATATAAGTTTAATATATTCGCATAACTTTATTGATAAATCTAAAGGGCCATAGAGATTGATCAATATAGTTCTGAGAAGATATAAATTTTATCTATCAGTCTGGAATAAACCGTCACAATCATTTCATGAAAAGAGGTAAGACAAAATTATTCCAACTCTATGGGCAGGCCTGGTGTAAATTTATCCAAAAAAAAGTGTAGAGATTGATTATATCACAATATCTGACAAATTAAAAGACTTGGAATATCAAATCGAAAAAGTATTACGTTGTATTAAAAATAGAAAGATGGAGAGAGAAAGAAAATAGAGAGAGAGAGAGAGAGAGAGAGAGAGAGAGAGAGAGAGAGAGAGAGAGAGATTAAAACAAGGGGGAGGGGGTGATCTTGCCGTCCAATGAAATTCATGAAGTTGATAAAAATCTAATTTTTACAAGCATTGCAAAAATGTAAAAGTATGTACCACCAAAATATTCGGCAGGAGTTGGCAACGTTTTAGAAGTAAAAAATGAATTTCTTAATTATAGAGACTCTTAATTATTTCGGTCATGCTCCTTGAGATGTGGTACATGTTACATCATAACTATAATTACATTATATCAATAATAGCTAACACATAAGGCCTATTTTCAAATGAATATACATGTTTCATCAGACACCTTACAAAAATGTATGTACAAGGAAAGATCTTGCAAGGAGAATTTTAAGGTAAGATAGATAACGCGCAAGAGAGAGATACAGAGACAGAGACAGACATATAAAGACAGAGAGAAAGAGATACAGAGATACAGAGAGACAGAGAGACAGCGAGAGAGAAAGAGAATAGAGAGAGAGAGGGATATATATAGAGAGAGGGAGAGAGAGAGAGAGAGAGAGATAGGGAGAGTAAGAGAGAGAGAGAGAGGGAGAGAGGGAGAGAGAGAGAGAGAGAGAGAGAGAGAGACCCAGGCAGATATACACAGGGAGAGAAAAAGATAAAAATAGACAGAATAGAGGTGGAAAGAGAGCGGAACTATGTTTTGAAGATGACCTACAATATTATTATTCATCTTCTCTCTGCGATCGTTCACCAGACTGAATGAAGGAATCTGTTTTATCGAGAAAGTTCTTGATCTTCAGTTGCAAGTCGACGTTGTCACTTCTGTTCCACCTGGGAGAGGTTGGAAGACTCTTGGTAGGCATCTGTCTCGATCGGAGAAGTACCCTCTGGTTCAGCGTGATCGTCGAGGCCAGGACGTCCGGGGACGACTTCCGACGAATGTCCAGGTTTCTGAACGTTGCCGGTTTCATCGCCAACGATTGCCGCCTCGCCATGTTTAACGATCGTTCAGTTTTATGATGGAAGGGAACGACGATGGACACATCTCCGACATCATCGTTGACATCATCGTCATCATTTTCGTGATCGTCTTCCTTGTCGGGTCGTTTTCCACTTCTAGTCTGAGCCCTGATGATTGGCAAGAATTCTGGAGCCAAGACTGACAAACTGCGGGAAATGGACGGCGCCGTCGACGAGTTCTTGTTGGCTGAGTTAATGGCGTCTATCTCGTCATTTGGCGAGGCCTGGTTATCTTCAGCCTTGCGGATACCACCCTCAACAGTTACGCCTTCGGATACCTGTCTCAAGGAAGAAATGCCACTCTGACACCTGAAGCAAACGCGTGACGACTGTTCATCGCCCTGACTTGAGAAGGACTCAAGGTCCCTCCGTGAGCTACAGAGGGATCGTGACCCTACACAGTTCACCTCGTCGTCTTCCACATGTAATCTCTGCTGCGAATTTCTACGACTCTGCTTCGAGGTGCTCGATGGTCGCACAACAACATTATCATTCTCATCTACGGCCTCGGTCGACGGAAATCTACCCAGATTTGATTTGTAGGCATTGAATCGTTTAAGTGACTGTGCCAAGGCGTCATTCGCGCTGAACCGTCGACGTGTGTTAAACTTTGGAGTTGCCGGGTTCGACGGGTTCAACCGTGGCAAATGAAAGTCGGGGGCTGATGTCCTTGACGAGGTTGAATCGTCGTCGTATTCTGGGCTCCCTCCGCTTGATGATGATTCCTCCCATACGTGACCCAGAGGCATCAGTCGCGCCTTGTCTACCGGCTGTGGTGTGGGGTCACGAAGCCCTCCAGAGGTCATCGTCGATCCTGGTCTCTCAACCGGGCCTAGCCTCGGCGTCGAGGACTGGATATTCTGCAGAAGTTCCAGCATGTTCTCTGTCTTCCGTCGGATGTCTTTGACGGAACGTTTCTCCCTCAGGTCTAGTTTCCCTAGCTTGGACTCTAGGAGTACCTGGTGGCCGTGGTTCTTAACCCGGGCCTGTTCCTGTCGCTGGTCCAATTCCGTTGCGGTCAGACCCCTAGCCCAGATTGGACGATGTTTTTCCATGGTGGTGAACCGATCAGCAACTCGGGGAGAAGAGGACGAGTCTCTCCCTTTATCTCGAGGAAGAGCTGGTGGGGTTGGTTGCAGACCTGAAATGAATGGTGGGAGAGAAAAATAAAGGTCATTACCATAGTCAGAACCAAGCATTTGCATATCTCCGGAGTCCCGGAAACAAAATGCCCCCCAATCGGACGGAAATTTTAATATTATAGGAGAAAAATAGAAAGAATGAAGAGCTTGAAGACAGCGTGAGAAGAAGATAATACCATTCCCTCCCACCCATCCTTCCCCACTCAATGGCCATTTTCTCTCGCATGTTATTTATGGACTAATGCCGGTGCCCTCCCCTACATTTTAAAGCGATATTTAGGAGAGGGTGCTAGTATTGGCTTAGACAGGTTGTGATAGAGCTGAACCCCATCTTTACTTAGCCCATACTATTTTTCATCCTCGTCGACATGTTTCAATGCAGGATAAATCATACCATAAAATCCTAAATGAAACTATAAATAATATTGATTTCGTCACCGAACTATGTGTTTGACTTCCCTTCATTACAATAGCGAGATCAATCATGTAAATATCTATAGGCCTATATTAAAATGACCTTCCACCGATTGATTATTTCAAAACTATTTCTATTTCTCTTAATTGTAATTATATGATGACCTCTCTTAAATAGTATCTCAATATGTTTCACGAACCTACTCATTTATCAAAAGTGTCAATTAAAACACTTCAGCTTTATTTATAGAGCAAATATTGACCAACTTAAGAGAAAAAAAATTAACATGAGTTCACAGTCGTGTGTCTACTCCCCTATCATTGTCTTATAAAAGCACTGTAAATATATAAATCTCAAGAACAATCTTATCTGTAAATATAGCACTTAGATAATGAACTAATTTACACCTTCGATTCGAATTACGTGACGGAATGGCGAAGTAATGTCTGCTCATGATCGCATTTTGACAGGGTCAATTAGGCAAAAAGAAGGCCTCACAAGCGACAAGTCATCGTTATCGAATGCATAAGAAATATACGAAATCCAATACAACTATCAACAAATTATATTCATGCAAACAGGGCTTTGTTGTCTAATTTATGAAATAAAAAGATATCCATGAATCTTTCAAAAATCAGTGTGACTTGCCAAAATATCAGGTATTGTATTTATAACAAATGTGAATTAGAAAGAAAAGTGAAAAACACAGTAGTCATTTGTTTTGATTGGAAGAAAAAAAATAACTGATAGAATAGTGGAAATTTAAACACAAATTGCTTGAACAAAAAAAACTATTTACTAATCATGATGATGATGAAATTCAGTGTCCGATAAGTGAGACAGATAGAGTGGAGTAGAGAGAGAGAGAGAGAGAGAGAGAAAGATAAGGAGATACAGAAAAAGAGACAGAGAGAGAGAAAAAAAGAGAGACATACTGTAGACAGCCAGGGATATACAGAGAGAGAGAGAGAGAGAGAGAGAGAGAGATACAGACAGAGAGAGATACAGAGTGGGAGAGAGAGAGAGAGAGAGATACAGAGTGGGAGAGAGAGAGAGAGAGAGAGAGAGAGATTTTTTTTTTTTTTGGGGGGGGGGGGGATGTCTGCAGTACAGATGGGGCAATGGACTTTGAATACATGTATATGAACATTTTGTTCACTG